GTTAGTTATTTGTATCCATGACAACAGCTTAATGAATCTATAACTGAAGCACAAAATATAACCAAATATAATAATTATTATATTGTATCAATTGGAATCAAATTCTCATTAACATACAGATTTAATTATGCGATTGTAAAATTGAATACAAACAATATTTTAATTAGAGAACAACATATTAATTAACAAAATCGACAATATTTGAACAATTTTCGCTATATCAACATTTTAATTTGTTTATTTTAAATATGCATTTCCGCTATCAACATTTTTGCAAAAAAAAAATTAGTAATTGTTTGATATTAAATTGAATTGATTGATTATAAATTGAAATTTTGTAAAACAATACCACAAATGTAGACAATTGTACATATTGACAGTTCAAGAGCAACTTCGAACTTCTCAAAACTCTCGAACTACTTAAAAGTTTCTCGTGAATTCCGCAGAAGTAACTTAGATTTAAAAGAATTCCGTTTAACGTGCATTTGAATATTTTGCACGCTAAAGTAAAACGATTTATTCAGTCGCTAAACAAACACTGAATGCAGTAGACTCTCGCTTTGAATTTATAATTTTCTGCGGCTGCAATAATTATGTTTTCGACTTCTTTGAAAAATAATATGTAGTTATCAAATAAGTTTGTACATTTAATTTCATATATAATTAGCGTTTTTCTTTTTATTGTTTTAATGAAGTTGTTTCTGAAGACTTGTGAAGACTTGACAGTCAGTCATCTAATTACGAAACTGTTGTTGTGTGCCGACTATAGATTGCAAAATTACAATATTTAAAATGGAATCTAGCATATGATTGATCGTCGAAAGTAGAATATACGTGCATGTACAAAGATTTCCATTATATGTAATTCAATAAAGTAGCTTAGTCACTTCGCATTAATAATGGTAAAAGCTGTACGATTAAATGAACTATTGATTGCACTAAAGTACGCTTTATGAAAGTATGAAACGTATTTCAATTTCGAAGTAACAATACGCCGAAAGGCAAAACAAAAAACAGCCATTTCAATGAATTGCCGTATTTTGTTGTGTCTGGACGATGGATCTGGATACGTGGAATATATAAGTGTCCGTCAGCAAAACGCTGAATCGATTCTTCCTTTTATTTTTTTTGCAGTCAACCCCCTCTGGCTTCATATAAAACACGGTTACTTGAATATGTCCTTGGAGGTAATTAAAAGACGAAACCATCAATAAGGACAACCCGTTCCTTAGTTCGCTTTTTGTTTATCGCTTGCAGTGTTTTCGTTATACTTCACTTCGAAAACCAGTTCTTTATTGCTCGGCAAATAATTACCAGAGCGCTCAAGTATAAATATACAAATAAAAAAAAGGGGAGAAAATATGTCGAAAAGAAGAATTGCCGCTTTTGTCGCATACCCAAAACGAATCCGTTGAGAACGTACGGACAACGTTTCATCTCGCAAATGGACGAGTTACATTAATTATACAAAACCCTTTCAAGATTCACCTGCTGGATATAACGTTCCTCGAGGCGATCTATCTCTGCTTAATATCAATGGTGGCATGGTGGATGCAACCAACATAAACTCAAAGGTCAAGGTGACCCGGTGATAAGAGGCATTAATTTATTGTCGGAGATAACATTTCTCGTCCTCCTTCTTTCTTTTCCATTATTTTCGCCACCCACCGCGCCCTTATTTATTTCGCTGAAAACCGGAGCGAGACTGTATCGTGATTTCAACTTGATGGATAATTTCCACTTGCCCAAGTTTAGGTAATTGGGGTAGTCAATAGTATATCCTGTGTCATAACTTTTCGGGGTCCCCCGAAATCGAAATCAAGCGCCGGAAACTTCTGTATCTGATGCCCTCACTCGCATGACAAACTTACATAATTAAGAAACTCCATTATTCGCAATTTTTTCGATTACAAATATTTCTGGTGCATGCGATCATCGCATTCGATACATACATGAGCGCTTTCATCTCTAATCTAATCAAATTTTATCATGCATTCGGATTTATTTCTATTATTATAGGCATAAGTAATTGAAACGGAAATGTAGGTGCATACTTTATTGTTGAGGTGAATTTCGACTGGATGGAAGTATAATAGATTGGCGATAAAGAATGTTGTTCCTTGAGAAAAATCAATTTTCTCCACCTAAAAGTAATTTAAAACGTGAGGTTGCTTAATAGCAAAATGCACAAGATTACACACACTGTCACCTGGATGCAAACAATAAAAAAGTGTTTTACATTGTGTCTTATAATATACATTGTTGGCTTAGCAAAATCAATCTGCAAAAGGCATTTTTTTTCCAGAAATGTATAGAAATATTCACCTTTATTAAGTATTGATTAAGCATTACGAAAATTTCTTAACCACAGATCCGTAAATTGCGATGCATCGACTATATAATCTATATAATGGTAATCTTGTTAGTAATAGACCGCGACAACAATACGCGAATCAAAATACCGCAGCGTCCGCAGGATTTGGATTCCACAATCGCGAGTGCATTTGAATAGGGCCTGGTTTCGCTTTTATTATATACCATGGACTATTATTATCTGTCTGTTAATGCGTAAATCGCACTCGGTATAAGTGGTCACCAATTATTTGCGTGGCAGTTTCAGATTGTAAGGGACAATTTGCTTTGCGCACCAGATCCGCAGTAGTAGTAGTAGTCGTAGTCCTCCTGACAATGGTGCAATTTAAATAAGCCCATTGTGGATATGTGTGTGCGCGTATATGCAGAATGGCAATTATTCATGTTTATGCATGTACACTTCCATAAGCCTGAGGACTTTCTGTGCGACCCGCATTAATATGTTCGCGAAACAACTTGTCAAACTACCAAAACTTGACCGGTTTAATAATTACACAGAATTCTATCGACCTTTGCCCTTCTAAATACAATTACTACTTTTTTCTGTTGCTCTGCTCCGCCATTCTCTGTTTTAATATTGAACTGCGGAGAAATGAACGCAAGCACACAATGATGTTTGAAATTATATTGCGATAGACACAGATGTGCCTTTTTTTATTTGTTTTCTTTGGAATCAATACTTTTTTCTGCATAATATTTATATTAAAATTAACGTCTTTTTTTATCTACAAAAATATATTATTTCTTCATCAGCAATAAAAAGCTATTACTCGCATAGTGCGGCTTTGAATAGCGCGGATTCATTGCAGTACGTTCAGAAAACTAAATTATCGATATTCTTTAAGTAACTTTTATGTAATAGATTTATTAATAATTATAATTTAATAATTTAAATTTTATTAATAATTAATTTATAATTTATTTTAATAGATATTCTATTTATTATACCTTTTTTTCTCAATGAATCGTAGATATTCATCGATTATCTTTAATGCTGTTGCTCAGAAAATAACTTTTTCAATTATTCACACTGCTTCATAACATTGTTTAGAAATTTATATTTATTTATTATTATTCGTCACATAAGATGTCACATTAATAATTGTCTATCAGCTTTAGCAGTTGTTATCTTAAATTGTCAACACAGTCTGCAATTACATCATTTGATAACGAATAGTAATTGTTAAGTTTAACAAATATTTATATCTCATGTTACCAATATCGTGCATGCAACATGATACATAAACCTACTTCCAAGAACAACATAAAACAGTGCTTGGATACAAAATTTCTTGAAAACAAATCATGAAAATGCGTGCATGTCTATAAAAATAAGCGTTAGTTGCGTTTGCAAATAAAATCGTTAACAATTCAAATGAATTAAATGATGCCAATTTCAATTGTGACAAAATATAAGTTGTCGATGGAGAGGAACTAATTAGTCCTGCAAAATGGACTTTCGTTTAGTCAAAAATGTCCAATTGTTTGCTTAAGTATGGTTTAATTGGTATATAAGCAATAGATGTTAATAATATTGATTTAGGTCAAGGACAAATATGGATGAAGAGTAAATCCAATCGAAGTGTAAATTGTAATTATATACAATTAAAAACAATGAAAAAATCTGATGTAAATTACGAAATATTAGATTTGTGTATACTTTCTTTTATTATAAATAATAATAAAAATAATTTATTGTAAAAATATATAAAAATGGTCTATTAACTCAATTTATAATTGATATTATAAAATAAATTTAGTAAAAACTGAAAAAAATTGAAATGTTAAATATTCTCATTTGAAATATGGTAGAATTTTTATCTTAATTAAAATTTTTACGCAAACAGTACATTTTTTTTTCTCTAAAATGATTAAGTTAAATAATTTCAAATAGAATTTAACAATATATTTTTTTTAGTTCCAATTGAAATTGTAAATAAATAAAATTACTGCTACTTGTTTTAAATGTGGTCGGTAGACTAACAATACCTTTTGTTATATTAATAAAAAAAAAGTATATGAAGGCGGTCATAATGATAATTTTATTATTATATTTATACTGTATTTGGGTTAGTCAATGTCAATAATAAAAATAATCATGAAAGTTATTAATATTAAAGGAATATATTTATTTTGCTGATCGATACTACGCACTGTATTTACGATGACTGTTTATGTACGTTATTGAATGTTTACAATTGGTTTGCGGCAAGGAAAAATATTGTTCTTCGTCTGCACGGTTACGTTTCTCCCACGACGCGTGAGAAATCTTTACTTTTACCGAATTGGTGCAATAACAGCGTACGAAAAGTGTTTATCTTTAAGCATCAGCAAAATAGAAGTTAAAGAGTGTTTCTAAGCTGCGATATGTAAAGTCACTTGTAACAAAACATACTCACAGACACAATATATTTCTATATGTTAAAGAAAATGGAGATATTACATGTCTGAATAATCTAGCAGGTTGTGGGTTTGGGGTAAAGGAGGGTAGACTAAAAACTGTGTTTTGGGGGGAGACTCCGTCGACGTCGACGTCGAATCGATGGCGTCTGTAGATCCCCGATCCCCCCACGACCCTCCTGCGGCGCACAGCACACTTGCGCGCGTCATTTACAACAACAGTTGGTTCCCAGTCTGCGGCCCGTTTGCCACGCGAATCACCTCGGTAAATCGGACAGAAACCACTCAGAAACAGAAATTTTATGCAATTCGGATTTCGCGCCCGCGAATCTAGTGACTAACAGGACAAAGTTCGAGAGTTTCCATCGCGTATTAAAGAGGCAAACAACTTAAAAAAAAAAGCACAGCGCGAACGACTTGATTTTGATATTCTGAAATCAAATTGGAGGATCTTTGGCGGGTTCGTTGAAAAAAAAAAAAATTGTCGACGTGTGATAACCAATCGATTACCCAATTTTCCAACTAATTGAAACACTTTCACGAGAAATTGTAAATTTCCTAATTTTTTTTTAACATCACAAAATATACACTAAACTTCAGTAATAATTTGTGCTCAATTTTAATAATTAATTAATTTATATTTTGGGACATTGAGTGCATTCAATTAGTGGGAAATGGTAATCCATTAACATTGTCCACCGCAAACGAGCTTCTAAAGTGTTTGCTTTCGCTACAATCTCATCATTGCAGTTTAAATAGTTTGTTCAAAGTGTGGTGACGATGACGTGATTTTCGGGGATGATGGTGCGCGGAAATAAATCTGGGCAACGGCGGCGGCGGCTCGGGTGACATGGGGATGGGATCGGTGAATGTTGTCCCATGCATGGGACTTCAATGTCGATGCTTTCACTAGTTATGTTTCGCGATATGAACAGGTCGGAGCAAGAGAATCTTTATAGGACATCCAGGAAACTTAGTCTGGTGCCCATCACGAACCCCGGAGGTAGCGAACGCAGGCACTCATCTGGTAAGAGATGGATCTCTGAGCAACGAACCGGAAACACCACCAAAGCTCGACCTAATATGCCACAAGTGGATCGAAACTTTACTAAAAGCACACGAAAATTCTTTTTTACTTACGTTCATAATTTATGATCTACAAGATACAAGATAATTATTTCATATTTTCCAAAATAAAACTGAAAATTAATTGATTCAGCCTAAAAACAAACATTCACACTTTACTGCTAATCTACATATATAAACTTATATGTATACATAAGGCTAGTTTACATATGGATACTGTAAGTCAATAACATTCATAAAATACTGAAGTCAATTACTTTGTGATAAGTTGATCATAGATTGTGAATTTTTTTCTTCTTATGGCATATTAAGTTTGTGCATTGCGTCTTCGAAATATCGATGGGTTAAGGGAATGTTGGTGTTTGTTAGTTCAGTATCCGGAGAAGGGTTGCTGCCCAGCCGAGGACTTAGTCCTCAGTGTCCTGAAGAGTCCCATAAACCATGTTGAACAGAGGGATCCCTACATGGAGGAAGTTTGTATCGGTGGTACCGGCGACTCGGACGGAAGGTAATTGATGCCTGGAAGCAATCTAAAACCGCAGAAGCTTTTTAGAAGTTTCCTCTTATACATTTCATTTGCACGGAATTTGAAATATATTTCTCATCTATTTTAACAATGGGAAAATCACGTGTTTTGTAAATTAAATCTAAATTCACATTTTAATTAGTAATCTAATATGAATCGAAGTTTTAGTATAAACAGATTTTATCATTTTTAAAATGAAAACTTTGGTGGTGGAAATAAAAAAACGTACAACGTATATGTTTCATATAAAGATTTAATGTTAAGTCAATAGTATTTATTCATAAGTAGAAGTCAATTAAATTCAATTAGATTGGAAATCGATAGATTGTATTTGCATCTTGCTGCAGGAAAATGTATAAAATTGTAATTGATCTTGAAATCCTGTACATAATGATCTCATATTTAATGAAAAATATTTTAAATATTAATATTTATATTAATAAAGAAAATAAACTTTTTTTTAATAATACATTAATTTATAAAATAGTAGATTTCATGCAAACGACGATAAGAAACAAATTGTGAACTTATGAAGAACGTATTAACATATTTGATTGCATTTGATAACAGTTTCGATTATATGTGCTAAATATAGAAAGCCAAATAAAAAATGGAAAAGCTTATTATTTATAATCCTTAAACATGCAATTACTTTCAATATTTGTATATTTGTTTTTTTTGTATATTCATATATTATTGTAATAGTTTTCACGAAAGGTTTTTTTATTTTCATTACCATAATGGATAACATTCCTGGTAGAATAACATTGAAATGAATTCACGATTTAAGCAAATGCTGTTTTTTGTTTGATTCTTTATATATTTATATGAAAGTTTTATATAGATTAACTTAACTAATTTGTTACAAAAATATTTATTAGACTGAGTTAATGTAAATGTCAAAACAATTGTCATAAGATGACAGAATTACTCAGTTTCAAGTTCCGTGCTTATGAATTTAACGATGGTCGTTAAAATGATAACGTCTTTCGGTTAAGTAATATTGCTTCCATCCATCAATTACTCGTGTGTAAGGTACAAGGGCAGCGAAGATGAATTAACGGACTGCGAACCGACGGAGAAGCTACCCTTCTTGGCGCGTCTACGAGGTCACAGGTCGCCCAGGGTATTCGAGGCTCACCACAAAAGGGTCCCAACTCCCTTAAAGCGGAAGCAACGATTCGGTCGAAACCACAAGAACCAGGATGTTATCGCGGCGGAGGATGTCGTCGACGAGGAGGACCCAGAGGACGTTGTCCCGGACACCCCTCGCGGCGTCCCCGATCCGTACTACCCCATTTACTTACCTATCGATCAAGCGTTCAAAGCGAAATATGTGTTCCACCACAAGAAAGGTAAAACGGTTCAAGAAAGGACTTACGTGTTCCTCGAGCATCCCGGAGGTTGGATCTGCTTCGTCTACCATTTCACCGTGTAAGTTATTTGTTTGCAATTACTGTCCAGTTAAATCGATAGATACTAATTAATGTATGAAACACCTGACGTTGTTACGGCATGTATTGTGTTTGTATTAATAGAAGAGATTCGTTCTCAATTGAATGCCACTAGAATTCCATTAACAAGCGTATCGCAACGTTGTTACTAATATTGGACCAAAATAAAATGAAATCTACCCACTTCTTAGTATCGTGTGTTATTTTTTTGGGAATATATACAAATTGAATCATGATTATTTAGTTGCATATTTAATTCAGCTTCCAACAGAACATCCTGTAGTATAGTGGAGTAAAATTGGGTCGCGTTACATTTTTAATGGGTCACGAAATGACAGCGTCCCAAAACGTTTGGGAAACACTGGTATAGTGAACTAATCATATGATTCAAATTTGGTAATCTTATTCTAAGAATAATTTATGTTGTATGTCCAAAAAAAAAAGTTTTAAGTTGACTATTGAAATATGTAAATTTATACATAAAATGACTTCAGAATTGCCTGCTTTTCAGGTGCAAAATAGAATGAACGTAAAAGAAAGAAAGCAGATGGTTCGCTTTCTCGTCTGTCGTTTTCCCGCATCGTCAAATACCAAAGGGATGCATAAAATAGCATGCGTTATTTATACAATGTCTTTTGTATCCGTTCGCTTGTCACTTTTTAAATAATTGCTCCGGGGAGAATAGGAAATAGAAGAAAAGCAGAATCTTCAAAGTGCTACACCGTCACTCAAACGAATTTGCAATGCGATCACGTGAAATAAATAAAACCGCGTTATAGTTCAAATTGCAATTTCTATTAAGTTGCTTTAAAATTTTGAAGTTATAAGCGAAAGTTTCTAGTTGGGCGATTCAGCTTGCTGTAGTCTCGTGCTTTCGGTGCTCATCCTACCTATCTTGCCTTCAAAGTCGGTAGCGAATTGATTTTCTGTCGCTTTCAGCTCGTCACGAAGATAATCCTCCACTTCTCGGGGGCCGCAAAACACGCCGATGCATTGCAACATTTTCTTAGACATCGTAAGATTCAAAGCTTAACTTTATTCAATTGAATCTTCAAACAAAGAACACTAATTAGTGCCTTCTTAAACGAAGCCTTCATTCATAATATATTTGATGATTGCAATCATTATACTAATCTGAGTGTATGTACAAAGATAGGACCAATTGAAAAATAAAGGTACATGTTGCATATGTACTTTACTATTTTATTGCTGGAGGGATGTTAAATACTGTATTTGTTTCGCGTAGAAGAATCTCATTCATGAAAAGACAATGGGATGATTGTAACGAGGATTCTTTTATATTATGTGCATATAGTTCAGAACATAAATATTAAAGTATTCACCTTGTTCTATGATGTAAAATAATATAAATATTTAATATTTCGAAAGATAGCAATTTTTGTATTTTTTTTATTAAATTACAATTTGCAACCATTTAAAAACTGTTTGAAAGTGATTGTGCTGATTGCATTGTAGTTACAATATACTAAGCAAGCATTGAATAATTGAGTGCTTTAAGTACGACAGCATTGCGAAACGTGATCCTATTGTACGTATTTAACATCTGGAAATAATGAGGCAAGTTGAATAGGATTCGGCACTATAAAAATATTCTATTTAAAAAAGAAAAACATACATACCAGATGATGTAATTACAAAGATGTTTATGGGTTATCATCATTCATACAATTACATCTAAGTTAAGTTAAGATCGAAATTAGTATAGAACAAGAAAAAGTTTATACCGTAAAAAAATAATTAACATGTTGAGAAGAAAACTGAAATTCTGAAAAAATGATATTTTATAAAGACGTTTATATATAGGTACGTATCTAATGGGAATTGATCTGCGTTCCCCCTTTTTTCGCGTTTCTTTTTGAACTTTTACTAAATCTGAAGAAATCGATGGCTTATCCATTGACACCGTTAATATATTGGGGGGGGCGCACCCGGCGGATGGAAAAAATGTATTTATAGTCGTGTACATTATCCCAACACAAAACACACATTTATTATAACGAATCGGGAAGAATGGGAAGTACCGAACATTGGAGCTCACTGTGCGGCGGTGTCATTAATGGCACGCCGAGATTTCCGACTCCCAGAAGAAGAATGAAAGAAAAAAAACGCTATTTACATTGAATGCAGAGGCCATTAGCAGCGACACACGAGTGCCTTATACGTGTCTAACCATCAACAATTAAAAAATAAAAAATAAAACGACAGTCCGGATCTGTTGACGCTTGTTAACACATCCTCCCTTTCATACCCATAATCAGAGTTGTCAGACGAACAAATATTGGAAATATCCGGTAACATTTTATTTTACATTTTTTTTTTGATTATTGTAATTTGAAACAAATATATTCACATCAAATGAATGTTTCAACAACAATGTTAATAATAATAGAATTTACGTTGGATGAAATGATAAAGATATAAAGTTACTAAAAAACTATACACATTAAATATATAATAATAAACGTTTCATTATACGTTTCAAAATAGTATTGTTTTATTATTCATTAAATATTATTTTTTGTTGATATCCACTCAAATTCTTTTCCAGTACTTCTTATACTTTTTATTGGACAAAGTATATAAACTATCAAAAACCTATAACTATTTACGTGCAGTTAGTCTATTTTGCTGCCCGCACATTAACAGTATAGCAAAACCAGCAACTACGTTCCACATTCATCGTATTTAATCAATATAGGAGTAATGCGAAAACCTTCGCAAAGTACTGATTAAATTGTAATTATATAAGTAACGAATAATGTGGATGGGATTACGTTGCCTTGATCATAAGACTGTATAAATTAAACAGGTTTAACATATGCAATTATATTCATTTAAAAATGCAGTAACTCTTGCATTTAAAGCAGAATATTTGACATTCAATTTAATTTCACATGCTTCTATGCGGTAACAATTATCGATAATTAATGCTGTAGGTTTACGGTTTAGTAACTCCAAAGTTTCATATTAATCGGATTCTAAAGAGTTAAACCTCTTATAACTATTAAAGATTACACCTTGTAAGCTTTCCATGATCTCCTTCTATGTACGTTTCTTTATTATGTACTTTAGAATAGAATATTTAGAGATCTAGAATGTTTATAAATAATAATTATAAAATATCTGTTGTGAGTTATGTAATATATAATAAAATTATAATAACTCACTCTTTATTTACTGCATTTAAACATATGCTCAAATGAATTTAAACAAACTACTTGGAATTGTTGTAATATGTGGAATACTTCTTAGAAAATTAGACATTCCTTGTAGTTGCGTGATATAACTTGTTTTTACTTAGAAAGATATCTCAAGGTTAGTTTTATGGAAATATAGAATAGATCAATTGTTGATATTACCTTAAATACATTATTTAAACGATTTTCAATAGCAAAATACTAATTTTGATGAGAAATACTAGATTGTAAGTATATTTTTTTAGGTTTCTTCAAATGAATATTCATATCATTTATAATAGAACTATACCGTTTCCACATTTCGGCTTTCAATATAATAACAACGTGAATTTAAACTGAAATATATATTGATTTGTTCTTTACAATTGTATACGAAACGTTTTATATAACTGCAACAGCAAAACAATGTTCTTTGTTCGATTTAATTAAAAGCGATAACTTGGGGAAACTTCGGGCGAAATCCTTTTAAAACGGAAGTAATTGTATGGCTTACCTTAATTAGGACTATCTCTTAATCATTTTTCACGGGAACATTTCGTTTTAATTGGCATCGTTAGCATTGATCAGATGCGAGCAGCGGTAAAATATTATTAGCGTGCCTTTCGACATTACATGCTGCAGGAACAAAGGGAGGGTTTTTGTTTTTTGGGCTATTGGAACACGACACCGCAATTACTCATGCTTTATCGGAATCTAACTCACGCGTGTGTATGTAGGCAGCAGAGAGAAACAGTGAAACGCAAATGGCAAACTTTTCGGGATCAACAGGATAATAACCTCTTTATCGCGAGGCGCCGTTTCGTTTTTCATCGACCTAATAAAGAAATAATGGAACGCAGAGTTTATGTGGGATAAATGAAAAGAGTGTAATCAAGAATGTCATTATGTGGTTATCTTGTTTCGCAATTTGAAGGATTTGTTTTTCTGTATTATTTATTAATATTTTTATCAAATGCATTAATATTTGTGGAAATTCACATAAAAATTACAGCAATAAGTATATTTTACATATTGCAACAAGTACTTGAATGTTATTAAGAGATGTATCAATATAAATTCATGTTGAATGCAATTATTCAATTCCTTAAAATTGTTTGGCAATTAATCTGAAATGAATGGTTGTCGTGCAAGTTTCGAACGATTAATTACCGTTAATATTTGTATTCTAATATTTTTGTACAATTTCTTTCTGTTCAATTTGAATAGCATTTAAACGCTGTATCGCATGCTTGCCACGAATCGTTAGAAGCATAAGCGTTTGTTTGATAACAGTTTGAGGAAGTTGTGAGCTCTAAAAATAACAAAGTAAATGCAGAAACTAATTATTTTTTTAATGTTTTGTTTTTATTATTATTAATTAGTCAAGATATATATGAAGCAAGATAATTGTATGCAAATATCAACTCAATAGTTTACAACATTTCGTAATGGAATTGTATGAATGAACTAATTGAATCCTGAAGAAATTTGAATTCTTGAAAGAAGTCGTACGCCGACCACTTTGAAATCTTGTAGATAAATGAGAAGTATGGGGTTTGTTAATTTCAGTCTTAATTAAATTCCGGCTTATCCGATGAAACGCTATTATTGTCTTGCAATGGCTTTCGTTAATGCCATTAATATCATGCTGCGGTGTATCGTACAATTAGCTTTTCCAAAGCTTTCTTCCTTAGCTAATTCCAATTCAATTACAAATCCATTATTGTCGGCCATCATTTAATAATTAAGAGGGTTTTATACGGGATGAAAATCGTAAAGGAAT